GGCGTCGCGTTCTCCCTCATTGCTGTGTGGATTCCCTGTGTCTCCCTACGAGTGTTAGTTTATTGATTCCCAGTTTAGTTGAGTTCTGTATTTCCTATGTTCTGCCTGTCAGCAATAAAGCTGCTTTTGAGTTCATCCCCGTGTTTGTGAATCTTGCGATTGGGTCTTCCTCCCGCCTGCCACACAGCCGATCATGACAATATGTAAGTAAGTATTTACATGCCATCCTGAGGAGCTGGACTATCTGTTAAACCTCTGTACCACCTCATGCCAATGCAAGAAAAAAAAAGTCAAGGAAGAAAAAAGAAAAATCAACAGTGACATCAAAGACCTGAAGTAAGTTTAATATCACCCTCTGTGTCTCTGTGGTTTTTGCGAGCCGTAACCAATTTACAATTAGATTTACAGAAATCACAAATGCAAAGTATGAAAGGAGTAGAATAATTTCTGTACCTTTTACACATGAGAAATCAAGGAAAAATGTTTTCCCACTAATAAAAGTGACATTAAATACATACATACACATTGAGATCAGGAGCACCGCAGACAGTCATCTGAAAGTTAGAAGTCACTAATAATGACGATCATCAGCTCCCAAATACACACTGAGTAACCTTTTTGTAAAGAACTCCCACAAAAACTCTCAAATCGTGATTAAATACCAACAGTTTTCACAGTATAACGCATTCTCCTTGTTTCATTGCCACAACAGCAATTGCCACTCCTGCTCCCAGGGCTGATCCCACTGGTCCTAATATAAATCCAACACCTGCTCCTATCCCAGCAGCCTTCAGGAACTTCGCCCGTCTTCTCGCTTCTTCTTCTCCCATGTCTGGATTTGCTTTCCGAAGTCGTTTCATCTCTTCTCTGATGGCTCTCTCAGCTTCCTGCAGCATGTCATTGGTGTAGTATGTTGCTCCATTTCTCTGAACCATGGTGTTGATCTTCTCCAGCAGCTCTTTGACCTGAGAGCGATCCTCACTCTTGTTGTTAAAAACATGATATCTTCCTCCGCACTGACTGATGAAGCGATGCAGAGGCCGATTTCCACTGATTGAGCTGTAGATGTCGACTCCGTCTTGCAGGTTGTCTCCATACGTGAACAAGACCATAATATAACGTGCTGCATCTTCTCCAAACATCTTCTGAAGAATTTTAATCGTTTCTTCTTCTTCGCTTGTGAATCTGGTCGACTGGATCACAACCAGGAACACGTGAGGACCAGGAGCAGCAAAGGTGATGCATCTAACAATCTGTGTAACCACCTGATCTACAGACAGGGTGGTGTCAAATAGACCTGGAGTATCAACCACAGTCAGTGTATGACCATCCACCTGGGCTGTTTCTTGCTGACACTCCAATGTTACAGAAGAAAAAGAAGAAAAAGACTGAAAAGCTTCTCTTCCTAAGATGGTGTTTCCCGCTGCACTCTTCCCTACTCCAGCTTTCCCAAGCAGCACCATCCTCAGGTGGAGGTCCTTTGCATCTGTTGAAGAAGATAAATAGATAAGGTTAGTTGGCCTTCCTGAGGCAGCTCACCACAATCGGACAGTGTGGACTTTGTGTGTAGACGTGATTCAGCCTCAACCTTGGCAGATTAGTGTCTCTGTGGCTGTTTCTGGTGCATCGTTATGCATGATTCTGAATATTAAGTATGTTTTAATTGTTAAACACAGAATAGTCACGATTTATATGTGATTTTGCTGATAGTCACTGATCAGAATATTATCGGGTGTAAGTTTAACCAATATAAAAAATAAGAAAATATCCATCGGCCATCTTTTTGTGCTCGTCTCAGGCCGGGTCACGGGACCAGCAGCATTAGCAGAGAAGCCTAGACCTTCCTCACCCCAGCCCCCTCCTGCAGCTTGTCCATGGGGACACCAAGGCATTCCCAGGCCAGCCGAGGTCCCCCCCAGGACCTCTTCCCTGTGGGACATGCCCTATACACCTGTCCCAGAAGGCATCCTAGTCAGATGTCCAACATACCTCAACTGGCTTGTATTCCTGTTCTTGTTCTTTCGGTCACTACCCAAAACTCAAGTCAAGTCAAGTCAACTTTATTTGTCAATTCTGCCACATGTACAGGACATACAGAGAATAGAAATTTCGTTACTCTCAAACCCTAGATGAAATAGCAATGAACATTTAAATATAAGAGAGTGATTAAAAAATGCAGGTAAAATAATTAAAAAGTAAAAATGTAAATAAATACAATACAAATT